ATGAAGGATTAAATTATAGATAAAGTGTACAATAGGTGCCAATTGTTCTTAAAGAAAATAAAATATGTGAATGTTTTGTGAATATCAATCTTTTTTTAAATAAAACGATTGGAAGGCGTTTTTAAAAGTTTGTGACGGCGCATATCCGTTTTATGACGTTATTTAGGTGCGGCGACTACTATAATCGCACTTTATTTTTAATACGATATTTTGAAAAGTATAAATCATTTTAATTTGAATTTTTCAGGACTGATTTAAAATATATATAGCTTCCATCATGTAAACTTTTGTTAATTTACGTCGACTAGGAGAAATTTTTTCGAAGTTGTGACATTACTTTTGGATCAACCCTCGTACATGGTTGTACTACGCTTAGTAAGATATTCACAAATTCTTTCTCCTATGTAAACGACATTAAGAAATAATTTGAAAAAAATTAATATCCGCCATTTTGAATCGCTACATGTATATTAACTCTTTACTTACAGCTGCACCATCATTCAGTTGTAGAATGGCGAGATGTAGAGAAAAAATACAAATTTGCAGTGTATGGATATTTGCAAATGTAAAATCCTGAATAAAGAAGAATATAGAACAATAGACAATTAAATCAGAGAAAAATTCGAATTAAGTGTAAAAAAAAAAGTAAAAATTTTCTGAGTTAAACTAAAAATGTTAGCATTCTAATACATGTATCATTTTTATACTTGTATTACACTCAGTGAAATATTCACACATTATTTCTCCTTTTTGAACGATATTACGAGAAAATTAGAAAAATTGGATGTCCGCCATTTTAAATCGCCATTTTGACCTCTTTTGACGCCATTTTCATGAGGGCCAGCATATTTTTTTCGATTTCGGCATACTCGAATTAGATTAAAAATTTATTTTGGACCAAATAATAATTATTTGCCGTTAGAAGTATTGTTTCCTGTTAATCGGACCAGACTATAATCATTTGAACTTATTTTCAAAACATTCTTGTCAAACTTCCTAATATTTTTAACATTCAAAATTCATCCATATTTTGAATATATATATATTATACAAAAAGTATAGTCATACACTGAAAGAAGTAAACCGAGATTTTAGAATTCCTTAGTAGACGACTTCTTTTGCATATTTTCCTCCTACCTTGATACAATTGTAACCTTGGAACTTTGCACTTTTTATTTTTAAATCATTTTACAAATGATCGGCTAAGACTAATTTAAAATCTGTTGCTCATCAAATATGTTTCAAAATACCGTATGAGTAAACTTTTTAGAGAGGATTTCACTTCGGCATTATTAGCGAGGGTGCTGAGATCACTAAAATTGAATATCGCCAAAAAATAATTGCGTTTTAATTGTAATGGCTTCTATAATGAGCTTTATAATAACGCTTAAATTACTTCTCGCTAAAAATAGAGTACCCATTTTTAGGACAAATCGCGAAATTTCTTTTATCTAAAATTTCCAATTAAACGGTAAATTATTCTGTTAAGAATTGTTTGCGAAAATTTATCTTTAGACAAATTTTTGAAATAATTTAAACAATGTTCAATTTACCTAACTTAAAAATTGATATCGGTAAGCAGAAGTAGTCTTTGGTCGTAGTCGTCAGTTCTTTAATAATACGGGCCGAGCTCAGTGTGTGTAACGGAATACGATTAATAGGACATTTTTGCAAGCAAAAATAAAGGTATGTAAAGTTAGCTACTTGTAACTGGCTACTAGTAGCTGGCTACGACAAGTGTAAAGTTGGCTACTAGTAACTGGCTAGAAGAAGTAAGTAAAGTTGGCTACTAGTAACTGGCTACTAGTAGCTAGCTACGACAGTTAGGTAAAGTTGGATAATAGTAACTGGATACTATTAAATGACTTGAACCTTCTAGAACCTATTGTGTAAAATTATGCAATTTATGGATACAAATGTTGATATTCTTGAAGTAGCTGGATTTTTACATCGCTGATATCAACTAATATTGCCGATAAAACTATATCTCAGTTTTTCCAGATGATCTGGCACTGAAGTTACCAAGATATCGTTAGAAATAAATTCAGCAACTAGTACCTTTTATGTACAATTGTGCAGTTTTGGGATACAAATGTTTATATTCTTGAAGTAGCTGGATTTTTACATCCCTGATAACCACTGATATTGCTGAAAAAACAATTTCTCATCTTTTCCATATTATGATCTGGCACAACAGTTACCAAGATATCGTTAGTAATAAACTCAGCTACGAGTACAATTTGTGGAAAATTGTACAACTTTTGGAAACAAATGTTGATATTACTGAAGTAACCGGATTTACCCACTGATATTGCTAATAAAACAATCCATAAGCTTTTCTACATCATCTGCCTTTAAAGAAACTAAGATATCAGCTAAGAAGAAATCCGACTAATTCAATAATATCACCATGTGTCTCCCAAAATTACACAATTGTACACAAAAGGTACTAGAAGATGAGTTTATTACTAAAGATATCTTGGTAACTTCAGTGCCAAATCATGTGGAAAAGTTAGGAGATTATTTTTTAATGAGCATTATCAGAGGATATCATCGATATAAAAATCAAGTTACTTCAATAATATCAACATTTGTATCCCAAAATTGCACAACTTTACACAAAAGGTACTAGCAGCTGAGATTATTTCTAACGATATCTTAGTAACATCAGTGCCAGAACATGTGCAAAAGCTAAGTGATAGTTTTATCAGCAATATCAGTTGATAACAGATTTGTAAAAATCCAGTTACTTCATTAATATTTGTATCCCAAAATTGCATAATTTAACACAAAAGGCACTAGAAGGTTCAAGTCATTGTCTAGTAGCCAATTACTAGTAGCCAACTTTACTCCCTTGTCATAGCCAGCTACTAGTAGCCAGTTACTAGTAGCCAAAATTACCCATTTGTCGAAGCTAGCTACTAGTAGCCAGTTACTAGTAGCCAACTTTACCCATTTGTCGTAGCCAGCTACTAGTAGCCAATTACTAGTAGCCAACTTTACTTACTTCTCGTAGCCAGCTACTAGTAGCCAGTTACTAGTAGGCAACTTTACTTACTTCTCGTAGCCAGCTACTAGTAGCCAATTACTAGTAGTCAACTTTACTTACTTCTCGTAGCCATCTACTAGTAGCCAGTTACTAGTAGCAAACTTTACTTACTTCTCGTAGCCAGTTACTAGTAGCCAACTTTACTTACTTCTCGTAGCCAGCTACTAGTAGCCAATTACTAGTAGTCAACTTTACTTACTTCCCGTAGCCAACTACTAGTAGCCAACTTTACCCACTTGTCATAGCCAGCTATTCGTAGCCAGTTATTAGTACATGTAGCTAACTTTACATATCTCAAAAACATAAACATATAAGAAAATCAGAACTACTTAGACAACTCTAAATGAAAACCAAAGAAAATGCAACAATCAAAAAAGTCAAGTCAATAATTTACAGTTGTACATAAAATTCACATCGCTTTCTAGACAGTTGACAATAAATATTATTATAAAATTGTGCTTCACATACGTAAAATATACATTGTCAGTTTATAGTCTTGAAACTATTATAAATCCTGCCACAAAATCTTGATTACCTTTCATATTATCACAAACATATTTTATGTCAGAAAAAGCTACATTTTAGCACACATTATATTCCTAGATTGTCATTACGACCACGACTGCCATAGTCATTGCTCTCGGGATCAAACAGCATCCTGTTACCATGGAAAGTGTCATTGTTCAGGTATTTAATTTAAATATGAGTGCATTTGTAATTGTCTTAAACAAACCTTTATTTGAGGTGTTTTTCAGTGATTTTTGAACATTGCATTTTTAACTGCAAGAAAGAAACATCAAAATCAAAGCATTTAAAATTTGAATGCATTAACTTTTCATTATATTGCATTGTTCGATTTAAATGCCGTATATTTTTATATAAACATATATTTATTTTTTTAGACCATCCACATACCACCACTCCATCCAGTGGTTTCCAGCAATGCGTGCATACTTCTGACTGTAATGACTGTCTTGGTCATCCTCATTGTTTTAACTACCGCTGTGCATGTACAGGTAAAAGTCAGAAGGAAGATAAAAGAGAAACAAATCTAATATCGTTTCAGAACCATTCAAGGCAAAATATACAAATGTACTATATTGTTTCTTCCTGATATCTTGATCATGTTAAAACACGTGTTTTAGTTGCATAAAACACATGAAGGCAAGGATAGCAATACATAAGCATTGCTATTTTAACACCATGGAATTTTAAAAATATTATAAACCGATGAAATAGTTTTCAGAAGTGAAAAAGTAAAGATAATGAATAGTGATTACTCTTTAAAAAAACAACAAATCAAATCTGTGAAATGGGTGAAAAAATTCTTTAACTTCAATCCATAAATAAATAAAAAAGAATATTGTTCTACAAATTTGATTTCATACACAAGTATTCTTTCAATGTTTTATTAGCTATTTGATTAAAATGAAGGGAAATTGTATAACATAGGTTAGGAGTTGTTCGAAATAAAATGTTTAACACGGATAAAAAGAAGCTGCTTGATAGCATTAGAAGATTGTTTGATTGTATGTTGTTAAACGTTCCTCTCGAGAATTTTTCACAAATGACATATCACTTGCCCGTGCAGAGCTGCAAATTTTATCATATGCTCGGCACTCATGGCCATTGAGCAGTGAGTGATCTTTTTCTTCCCAGCATCTGCTGCGAGATCGGACCTCGATTTATACGGTCTCAACCGAAGGACCGGTCTCCACGTCCCACAGTGGTAATCGAACCCGCGACGTAAGGACCAACTCCATACTTTGCGACTCTAGAGCAGACGCTCTAACCGCTGTGCCAAACGGGCGACTAGCAAAAACATGAAGTAAAGGATGAATTTGCTTATCTGATAGCAAGAATTTATTTAAATAGCAAAAGACTTTACACATCAAATACACAAGGAAAAGAACAGCAATAAAGACATATATATTTCTCTGAATATCTTTACATTTACAGATCACTCAATGATACCGACGGAATATTGTAACCAAAACACTGACTGTTCCAGTTGTTCTGAACATCATGTGGGATTTTGTAGCGACTACAAATGCACATGTACAGGTATAATGAGCTTTATAGCCACAAAAAGAAAATTGTATTTATGGTTACTATATATGTAAATGATTGATTGATTGTATATTGTTTAACGTCCCTCTCGAAATTTTTTCTCTCATTTGGAGACGTCACCGTATGCCGGTGAAGGGCTTCAAATTTAGACCTATACTCGGCACTCAGGGCCATTGAGCAGTGAGGGTTCTTTATCGTGCCAGCGCCTACCGTGACACGGGACCTACGTTTTTAAGGTCATATCCGAAAGACCCGTGACTTTCACTTCTGATGCCGAGCGCTTGGCGAAGGAAGAGTCACTACCTATTTTTAAGTATTAGGTTTGACGCGGCGCCGCGAACGATAATCGAACCCGGGCCTCCCGATCACGAAGCGAACGCTCTACCACTAGGCTACCGTGAACGGTATATGTAAATGAACATTAGGTTTATATCTATATCTGGCCTTGCAATGCTAGATAAACGTATGATGAAGAAAAATAGAAATTTGGGATTAAAATGAATCAAAATATAATTCAATTGGGTTTTATATAGTTTGTACATTATGTATGTGGTTTAACGTTCTACTCAAGAATTTTTCACTCATATTGAGACGCCACATTAACCGGCTGAAAATTTTGTCCAATACTAGGCACTCAAGGCCCTTGAGCAGCGAGATTATTAAATTTCTTTTGAATCAAAGTTTCAATACCATCATAAATTAAAAACTGACATTTGGTCTAATGCAATGTATCAAATTTCAAGAACATTGGATTTTTGAAGCTGAATAGTTTGCATCACTTTGCTGTATAATTGTTAAATGATAAGGAGAAAACCTAACATGCAGTCAAACAAACGATTCTTGATGTTAAAAAGGTTTTGAATGAGCATCCTATCTGTTAACTGTTAAAAAACTAACCATAAAATGACATAAATTTCCATAACGTGTATTTATTCAGCAGTTTTACTTTTTCTGTTTCAAAACTGAAACTTTTGTCTCCGAAAATTATTATGATGATAAGGGATTTTCATCCGTATATCAATTCTTAAAATCAAAATTAAATGCCTTTTTGCTTCAATTAAATCGAGTTCGTAGCTTATTTTATATATTTCTTCATAGGAAGTATCCACTGCAGTGTTGGGAATTGTGATCATTTTGGATGTCCCAGCGGTTCGAATCCAGAATGTGAAGTCGTAAATGGTCATCATCGGTGCACTTGTAAACGTAAAAATCTATGATAACTTTCATTTTATCTAAGCGTACAGTAAGGATTTTTATGCCCCCGTAATCGAAGACTCGGGGGAATACGGGGTATATTTTTGTCGTGTCCGTCCGTCCGTCGTTGTCTACCTGTTTATCCGCAAAAACTTTAACCTTGCCCATAAATTTTGATTAAGTGGAGCTATGACTTTCATATTTCACGTTGTATTTCTGTTGACAATACCTTTATTTTAATACCACCAAATTTGTCCTTAGAGTTTGACATATCTTTACACAAAAATTCCAAACTTTTACTTTGATTATAACTTTTCAACAGTACATACTCGGACTTTCATACTTCACATATGTATTCTTTGTGACAAGAATTTTCATGGGATACTAACAACTTTTTGACCTTGACCTGGGATATTTCTGTACTTTTAAAAAACTTTAACCTCGGCAAAAACTTTTCAAAGGTAAGGACATATGTTTAATATTCTACACGTATTATCCTTATCAGGAGAACTTTCCTTGAATACCAAGAACTTTGACGCTTTGACATTGGAGTTTGACCTATTTTTTTAAAAAACAAACATTGACCATATTTTCTGAAGGTTTAGGGCTAGGGCTTTTATACTTCAAATTTTATTTTCCTGTGACAAGACTTTTCATTGGATACCAAGAACTTTGACCTTTTTACCTTGATCTTTATGTTTGACCTGCTTTTGAAAAACTTGGTCATTACTTTTGAAATGTTAAAGCTCTGGTTTTCATAACTCACATATGTAATCCATGTGACGAGACTTTTGTTTAGAATCGAACAACTTTGATCCTTTGACCTTGACCCTCAACTTGCCTTTAAAAAATTCATCATCGACCATAACTTGTAAACAGGGTGTGCTATGGCTTTCATATTTTACAGTTGTATTTATTGTGAGGAGACCATACGAGGGGTGATCAAAAAGTTCGCGAACTAATTGAATATCTTCCAAAAAAGACACAATATTTGGTTTCAGTGTTGCTTATATTCTAATAAGTCCTCTCTTATTTTTACTTATCTGTCACCGTTCTGTTCATGCGCGAATCACGTGATATAGCCGGTCACGTGACCCCCACAGTAGCGTTCTGTCACAAAAGCTGAAAGATTTTTCCGAGTTTTATATTTCTTTCCATGTAAGTTAATTTTTATAACAAAAACAGTTCATTTGTCAGAGATGACCAATTCTCTGCTACAGAATGGGTGGATAAGAATTTCCTTTCCAAAAATAAGCATGGCGACCATCAATACTCAAATCTTCTGCCTCGGGAGAGACGTTTATTCAAGGCGGATAAAAAATGGGTGCCTCCTATTTATCATATCTAATATGTGTTAAATATAAAGTAAACGATATCTCAGGTATTTAATAATTATATTATTGTTGAAATATTCAGCTATTTTTCAAAGTGTAAATTGGAGGTCTTTGATAGCTAATTGCTTTCTTAAAAACACATCTCTTTTCAAACTTGCTTTGACTGGGCAAAATAACAAGTATCGTTTTTAACCATCTGCCTTCCTTCACTATAAACAATCAATCCAATCATTGATGGTTTTTATAAGAAGTCATTTGTCTTACTAAACTATGTGCAAATTATTATACTCTACTTCTAAGGAATTCTAAGATATACCATAAATTCTACAGTCGTTTGTTGAACGAGTACGACTGAGAAAACCATTTTTCGTCACAAAGTGACCTACATAGTGACGTCATTTTCACATTGTGACGTCCCAAACAAGGAGAAAGCTTTATTCAGCATATGCTATTTATAGACCTTATGTATGTCTACATGTGTACTAATTTTTTTTCTAATCTGAATTATGGTTTTGTAGATATAGAGAAAGTTCGCGAATCTTTTTATCACCCCTCGTGCTTTGGGATCCAACATATTTACGAGGGCTGTTCAATAAATAACGTCATGAGCTCGATGAAATACAACATAGAAATCATATGACATTAAGCTTGACTTTCATTAATGAATCTTTGATGAATTGATTACAGATTATGTGACCACTTTTCATCACGTAGTTTCATTTTGAGAAGCTTGAATACAAGGGCTATTCGACACACTGCATTAAAAATGAATGGAAAAGAATCAATAAACTGGAGTGAAATTAACGCTTCATTAAGGCTCCTATAAAACTCGTTAAGAATCCCAAAGAAAATATCATTGAAATGTAAAAAAATTCTGCAATCAATGTCTGTTTTAACACATAAACACGCAGATTTCAATGAACAAACATGATGTAATGGGCATCAAAAATGGGCGACAACAAATATACTGTTTGCGAAAAATCAGCAAATCATCACTGATTATGTTTGATTGGCTTTAATACATATAGAAAATTTGACAGGCATCATCTTGGTAATAGTTCACAATGTTTTTTTAACAATTATTTTTAAAAATCAAAATTTGCACTTATCCACGTTTGTCTGAAATTTAACATATAATAAAACTTGAATCCATTGCTTTAAACCCTAAAACAAATTTAGTATTAATTTACAATAAGATGCACTTGACAAAAACAGCAAAAGCCTGAGAAAAGCAAAGAGTTGCAAGAGCACAAAAAGGTTTTATATGCTATTTTCTTAAATATTTGTGGTTTTGTTCAAATTTTTATCGGGGATGCAGTTTAATTTCAAGAGTAGTCTATAGAAAGCAAAATGTTTGCAAAAAATCGAAAGGTTTATGAGAGGAAGGAACCTGAATCAGGAATCCACTACATTAAATTTCTTCATGACAGTGTCCAAATCCACAGATCATGAAGAGTAAAGGAGTGTTGGGGATAAACAGAAAAAATAATGTTGTTGTCACACAAACAATTTTCGCAAGATATCTCAACCTTTGATTTGTTTCATTTTCACAACTTGAAAAAAAAACCTTTCAGAAAGAAAAAAAGCACAGGAAATCTTACAATCTGCCATATTCCAGTAAACGGAGGGCCATACTCAAAAATGTGTTCCAAAAACAATTAGAAATTGAATACAAATATTACGGACGTGAGTTTTTATCAAAAGAGAATATCTAAGTGAAATCACTGGGACTAAATCTAAATGAGTGTTTTTTTTCTTTTCGAGCACTGATGACATTATTTATTGAACAACTCTCGTAATTTGCAGAAATTACGGAATCTAATTTGGAGAAAAGAATAATCTTCGATTTGTTGCCATACGGGGGCATCAGTTTTTCACATACATATCTTGTTTTAACAATATTTTATAAAAAATAAAAAAAAATTCTGTGAATAACATTTGAAGTCAAAATTTAGTTATTTCCTTATTATTGTGAATACTGATTTATTAAATGATCAATATATGAATGATATCTTTCTGTTTGTATATTTATTTCTCTGATTCAAAATGCTCCTTCTGTGATCGACAGTGGCTCACAGCAATTGATACAATCCTAGACATTTTTAGCATGTAGACAACATTTTTTAATCGAAAATTGTCCCTTACGTTTAATAAAATATTCCTTATAGACATGTAAAAAGTTTCTGATTTCAACAAATTATGTACATATAAAGTAGGGGTTCCTATGGAAGCCCAATAGTGCAAACCAAATACATGTATAAATAATGAAAAACGAAAAAAAACTTTTCATATTTTCAACTTTCTCTCAAGAACTACAGGGCCAATTTAAACCAAACTTGTTCCAAAGCATCCTTTGGTAATGCGGAGTATAAATTCTCTATATGAATCGCCAAGTCCCCTTACAAGGGGGGACAATCAAGAAAATACAAAAATAAGGTGGGGTCATCAATAAAAATCTTCTTCTTAGGAACCACTGGGCCAGAAAAACTTAAACGTATGTGGAAGCATCCTGGAAATAATGTAGATTCTAAATTGTTCAAATCATAACCCCCGGGGGTAGGGCGGGGCTAAAATAGGGAAAACATGTTTTACATTAGGATATATATGAAAAATCCTTAGAAATTTTCTTCTCAAGAACCACTGGGCCAGAAAAGATGAAACTTATTTGAAAGCATCCTGGGGTAGTGTAGATTCTACAGTAAAATTCTAAGGTATAATCATGATCATGACCCCCGGGATAGGGTGGACTGCAATAGGGAATCCAAGTTTACATTGAAATATATATGAAAAATCTTCTTTTTATAAACCACTGGGCCACAAAAGCTGAAACATATGTGGAACATCCTGGGGTTGTGTAGATTCTAAATTGATAAAATCATAATCATGACCCATGGGGTAGGGCGGGGCCAAAATAAGGAATCCAAGTTTTACATTAAAATATATAAGAAAAATCTTTAGAAATTTTCTTCTCAAGAACCACTGGGCCAGAAAAGCTGAAACTTATGCGGAAGCATCCTGGAGTAGTGTTCATTCTAAATTGTAAAAATTCATGACATCCGGGTATAGGCGCAGCACAGTTAAGGTTCAAATAAGGAGGCGGGGCCTAATTTGTACGGGAAATGTTTACTATGACGTCACACAAAGTATAAGGTCTTCAAAATAACACAAAATGAACTTATTTCCTATTTCAAACAGCTGGATAGCTGTATACTACATATAAACTTACTATTACAGGCAGTTTTGCCGTTTGTTAAATCCCACACAACAGTATATAAACGATGCATCGATCGCAATGCACTTGTCAATGTGACGTCATCTCGCAAAAATGACGCAGTTTGTACACAGCGAGGGGCTGATCAAGTCGCATCTTGTACAATGAAAAATTGTCTTTTGTTCTCAAATAAAATATTATTTGCAATTAAATAAAAGGCCGTTAGCTTGGATGTGATGTCTATTTTAGTATTTTATTTATAAATTCTCCGTACATTCTCCGGACAATTGATACTGTCGTGTGTTTGTATGCAGATTCATTGAAAAAGTAAAGGAAGGGACCTATTAAATCGATTTATTGCAAGGACATACCCTCAATGTATCTCCTCAAGTTTTCACATCTAAACTCAAGAAGCATTAAGATATATGAAAAGTGCCGCGAACCTCATGAAATCTTGAAAATAAATTATTTATAACTATATTTAATGTAGTTGTCCAGCAAAATATTCAACCTGCCGTCCAACAAATTAAATTTTAGCCATTTAAAAAGGGAATCTAAATAGGTTCGCAGCACTTTTCACAAACTACATAATAATAGTGTTGAAAAGGGTTATAAATTAAACTAAGATTTTTAACTTGGTTATGCCCTTGCAATATTGGAATTTATAGATGACCTCTAAACTGCAAGAATAATTGCTAGAATTATTCTTGACGTCGACATCACGTGACAAGTCTTAAAAAAAAATTCTAAATGTCCCCGACATGTAGATTTAAACCACATTACATTTTTTTTATATCAGTGAAGTCCTAAAAATAATCGCCCATCCTAATAAAGTATGTATTTTTTATCTTAAAAAATCGCCGATATTTCCATTTGTAACCTTAACTATGCTGCGGGACAGGGCCACAATAGGGAATCCAAGTTTTACATAGAAATGTATAGCAAAAATCTCTAAATAAAAATCTTCTTTCCAAGAACCACTGAGCCAGAAAAGCTTAAATTTATTCGGAAGCATCCTGGAGTAGTGTAGATTCTAAATTGTTCAATTCATGAGCCCGGGCTCAGGGCGGGTCCACAATAGGGAATCCAAGTTTTACATAGAAATATATAGGAAAAATCTTTAAAAATCTTTTCTTCAGAACAATTTGCCAGAAAAACTAAAAGTCATGTGGAAATATCATGGGGTAGTGTTGATTCTAAATTGTAAATCAAAATTGTAAACCCCTGAGAGAGGAGGGGTATATGGCTACAATAAGTATTACAAGGGGGAAATTCTGGTAAAAAAACAAAGTTACTCAGGTGAGTGATGTGGCCAATGGACATCTTGTTTTATTAAGTGAAATATCGAATATTAGATACATGTGATGTGCAAGATTTTTGTATTTTTTTATTTCAACAATAAAATGGTCCCTGCTATGACCCCAGTCCTGATAAAGAAGCAATTATTTTTTATCACAATCCAAATTCTTCAACAATGTATCTTAATTCACAAAACATGAACTAAAAGTGATTGAGTTCAAGAACATGAAGTAAAAAATTGAAAATAATTATTATTATTGATAATTTTTATAGCTTTTTTTTCTAGCGTCGACATCTGCCACTATCAGCCACTGCAATGACAATTCTGACTGCACCACTTGTTCTGACTATCAAATTGGACAGTGCATCCACCACCAATGTAACTGCTCTGGTATGTGTACAGATATTTTATGTACAATTAGGACTGAAAACGTGGTACTATTTCTATAAATAAAACATTTTTAAGAAAGCTCTAACAAAAAAGATAAATCCTGTGTAAAATTATTTGTCTCACACTTTGAATCTCCAGACATATATCAAATGTGATTTTTTTTTTCATTAAAGAACCTCTAAAAGGTATTGATATATAGAAAGAGAATTGATTTAAATATCCTCAACTCATAATATTTTACTTTGCCAACTGTTTTTATTTACTAGTATTTTCAGCTTGCAAAATGTTCTTAAATTGACTAGTTTATCATTTTCTCTTCTTCATTGTGTAAACCCAGAAATCATATCAGATGTATGCTTTATATAGATTTTATAAGAAATACCATAAACTAACAGGCAACTTAGGCAAACATTTCATGTACTTGGTAAATTGTTGCAATATTGAATTAGCTCTAAGCTTCTTCTTTGCAATCTGTACAGTTTTGTCTTATTTGCCTGTTAAACGTGTCATTGGTTTAGGTATAAAGAATAAAATTGCAATTGCGATCTAAAAAGTACTTACATTATGATTTTTTTAAAGCCAGAATGTCCTGCATTTACAACAATGATTGTCATGGGTATGGTTGTGAAAGCAGTTTATATCCACAATGTGCTAACCTAGATGGTCACTCTCGATGTCTTTGTGAAGGTAAGTAATTTCAAAGTAGCGAGATTAACATATGAAACGCTAATGAATTAACAACATGAATTTTCTATTTTCACTTTAGCATCGTCACCATCCGCCAGACATGAATGTGACCAAAGTTCCGACTGTACTAAATGCCACGACTATCAAGTTGGCAAGTGTAACCACAACCAGTGTACCTGCTCTGGTTAGTGTGTAGAATGATACTGACAATTGAAGGTGAACACGGGGTAGCATTAAATAGAGGATAAAGAGAGAAAACTTTTTACTATTGTAAATATTTATGTAAGTAGAGTTTCCACATATGAGTAGGGAAAATTGAGAGAAAAGTTAAAATTTTGTAGGAGCGAATAACGGAATTGCGATCAACGTCTTTTCAATCTAAAATTATGTTTGAGAAAAAAGCAAAGAAATGCTTACTTCGTTCACTTTTGAATATCACATGTCTGTCATTTTTTAAGTTAACGGGCATAAAATTAATCAATGGATCATACATCCAAATACATGTAGTTTGATCTTTTGCACTGTAAATACAAACTTAATACTGATCAGTAATCATATATGCACATTGTTAATTGATGCAACTGATAACTTCTTGACAACAACAGGTTTGACCATTATGCAAGGTTCCGACTTGGAATAGAGAAATAGGAAGGGAGATAGTAGGAAAAACTTAAACTGCAATTGAAAAAAATCAAACGCTTTTCTCTAATACGATTTTGAGTACAGGTTATGATAGTGCGATTTTTTTCTCTAGCTGAAATGCCATGCAGTTACAACAATGATTGTCATGGGTATGGTTGTGGAAGCAGTTTGTATCCACAATGTGCTAACCTAGACGGTCACTCTCGATGTCTTTGTGAAGGTAAGTATTTTCGAAGTGAATAATACATGTAATGTGTGAAATGCTAATAAATTAACAACATGATTTTTCTATTTTCACTTTAGCATCATCACCATCCGCCAGACACGAATGTGAACAAAGTTTCGACTGTACTAAATGTCCCGAATATCAAGTTGGCAAGTGTAACCACAACCAATGTACCTGCTCTGGTTAGTGTGTAGAATGATACTGACAATTGACAACACGGGGTAGTATTAAATAGAGAATAAATAGAGACAACATTTACAATTGTACAGATTAATATAAATATAGTTTCATCAGTTAAAAATTTGGCAGATGTGTATAACAGAAATGCGATTAACATCTACAAACACTTTTAAAATTATGTATAATAAAAAAGCAAATAAATGTTTACGTTTCTCTTGTCACCTGTCAGTCGTTTTTAAAGTTAACGAGCCGAGCATAGAATGAATCAATGGATCAGACAACCAAATACATGTAGTTTTATTTTTTCACTGCATTAAAATACAGACTTAAATCTTTCGTGTGTTTGAAAGATTCAATAAGAAAATTCTGCTAATTTGAAACGAGTTGCCCATAACTTAATACTGAATACTTCTCAGTTTCTCATGTTTACACATTGTTGCAACTGTTATGTACAGATTTTATACTAGTTGATTTTCAGATTCCGGATCTTTGGCTACATTTTATTATTTTCCCATTTAGCTGAATAGCTTTATCTATCAGTAAGCAAGATCAGTTTATTGTCCTTTAATTATAGTGATAATTAGTTAATCATGGGTGGTCTTTGTATAATTTTATTTATTGCCTCCCCACTTAGAGGAGGTAGTATTTTCTCTCCTACACATTGTGAAGGCTATGTTTACTACATAAATGAGCGCGTTTGATCATTTTAGGCAGTTAAACGAGTTGAAGAAAAGTTGTTATTAGAGTAGTTGAAGAAAAGTTGCATTAGATATCAGAATGAATATATAAAGGATTACGGAATTTTAGGATTTTTTTTATATATTTCAATTGGATTATTTTACTATTGTTTCTTATGTGAAGCGTGGACTTATTGTGTGTGTAATATAGTGTGTAATTATGTAAATAAATAAGTGAACATTTTACGGATTTGTTAGTGATTCAGAACAACTCTGAGGAAAGTTATAATAATAATAATAATAATAAAGCCTTTATTTATCCAGGATGACATACTTTAGCAACAATGCTAGTTTTCAATATGGTCCTGCATTTAAACATACATACAGACAGGTATTAGTAAAATACAGTTTTAAAGAAATAGAAAACATATAAGAATTTAAAAAAAAAGAAAAGAAATCTAAGATAAAAGAATATTAAACAAAATTAAGACACATGGTGGTATTCTCTTAGATAGTTTCTTTTAAAACATAAAACACTTGTCGCACTTCTTATACACACTCAGTGTGTTCCATAGATTGCTGCCTGAGACAACAAAATATCTCTTATAGTACTCAGTTTTTGCCCTTGGTACATACAATAAATTTGAATTGGAATTTCTAGTTTGTCTTTGACTAACATTTGATACATGATTAAACACGTTCAAATACCAAAGTTAGGAATTTAAAGGGAAAAACCGCTCGGATAGAAAATATGTAGTTACTCGGCAGTGAAAGCTGACTCCCCCGCAGCTCGGCCTGCGCTACAGTAAACGTCTTTAGTACAGAAGGTCTTCCTATCTACAAAAGGTCTGAAAATTTGACCATTATGCAAGGTTTTGCCTTGCAATTGAAAAGAAACCAAAAGCTTTTCTCTCGTCCGATTTTAAGAAATAATGATACACTGTAATAGTGCGATTTTTTTTTCTATAGCCGAAATATCCTGCATTTACAACAATGATTGTCATGGGTATGGTTGTGGAAGCAGTTTATATCCACAATGTGCAAACCTAGACGGTCACTCTCGATGTCTTTGTGAAGGTAAGTATTTTTACACGGTATATACATAATGTAATTTATTAAATGCTAATTGATCGAATTAACAACATGAGTTTTCTATTTTCACCTTAGCAACATCACCATCCGCCAGACACGAATGTGAACAAAGTTCCGACTGTACTAAATGTCCCGAGTATCAAGTTGGCCACTGCGACAACAACAATCAATGTACCTGCTCTGGTAAGTGTGTAGAATGATATTGACAATTTAGAGTGAACATGGGGTAGTATTAAATATCAAAGAAATGTTAATGTTACTAAAAAGTCAAAAGTGCCAATATATTGATAATTTACATTTATATGAGCTCACTGATCTTTGATATTAAAACATATTTCTCCCTGATACCTTTCTTTAACCTTTACTCTTACAAAAAAATGAATGGGGAGAGAGCAACCGGCCTTTCAATGAACATCTTCAATAATTAAAAATAATCTTTGGAAAAAAGTGGGACACCAGTTTTTTCGTGCCTGCATTTGTAAATGGGTTGGGAATCATATTTTTATTGACACACTTTATCGGTCTTATACTATGTGTGGATGTGTTTTGTGCATTTATGAACGATCATGCTACATTTTGGCATGAAATACTGTATAAGCTACATGTAGTAGCATATAGTTAGTCAACCACTCATAAATTTAGTTACATCTTCGAAGAAGCTAAAAGCTGGCAACATATGCTTTGCTTGGAACACTAGTTAATATTAACAAGCATGGAATTAATCAATGGATCAGAAACCAAATACATGTAGTTTGATTTTTTGCACTGTAGATACAGACTCATATCTTTCGTGTGTTCGAGAGATTCAATAAGAAAATACATTTTGATAATCTAAAACGAATTGTCCTGAACTTAATACTTGTCAACTAATTATGTTTGCACATTGTTATTTGTTGCAACTTTTACTTCTTTATTACAATAGGACCTCTTTTCTAAAGAAAGTCTGAAAATTTGACCATTATGTAAGGTTTTGGTTTGGAATAACAAAAAGGAAGGGGGTTGTAGTAGGAAAAACTAAAACTGTGATTGAAAAGAAATCAAATGTTTTTCTCTCGTCCGATTTTAAGGAAAAATGATAATAGTGCGATTTTTTTTCTATAGCCGAAATATCCTGCATTTACAACAATGATTGTCATGGGTATGGTTGTGGAAGCAGTTTGTATTCACAATGTGCTAACCTGGACGGTCACTCTCGATGTCTTTGTGAAAGTAAGTATTTTTTAAATGGTGATTAATTAACATATGAAACACTAATGAATTATCAACATGAGTTTTCTTTTTCTATTTAGCATCATCACCATCCGCCAGACACGAATGTGAACAAGGTTCCGACTGTACTAAATGCCACGACTATCAAGTTGGCAAGTGTAACCACAACCAATGTACCTGCTCTGGTAAATGTGTACAATGAGACGGACGGTTTAGAGTGAACATGGGGAAGTATTAAATGGGGATAAAGGGGAAAACTTTACAATTGTACAGATTTATATAAATACAATTTCTTCGTATGAGTAAGTAAATTTTACAGGAAAGTTAAAATTTTGCAGGTGCGTAAAACGGAAATGCAATTAACATCTACTGTAATATCACATATATGTTTGGTCAATTTTCAAGGTTTGGGGAAAAATTATTAGTTTGCGGGGATTTGATTTCGTGGTTGGAGAATGTTTATAAGAAATGCATATGATTTTACATTTCATGGTGTTCATAATTTCGTGGGTCTCTCAATACCTCGAAAACAACGAAAATAAACCCCCACGAAAATTATTGATTTCACAGTATTCAATCTTCTAAATTCATGTATTGGAAAAAGCAAAGAAATCTTTACGTTCAATTTAACATATGTGCGTCATTTTTAAAGTTAACGAGCATAATATTAAAGTCTTATACATGTAGTTTAATTTTTTGCACTGTAAATACGGACTCAAATCTGTCCTGTGTACGAGATAAGTTATATGAGAAAAAACATTTTGCTAATTTAAAACAAATTGCCTTTAACTTAATAAGTATCAATTAATCATGGTTGCATAGGTCTAATTGTTGCAATTGTTAGCTTCTTTAGTACAATAGATTTTCTTATCTGAAGAAGGTCTGAAAGTTTGACCATCATGCAAGGTTCTACATAGGCAATTTAGCCACATATGATCCACATAGACATTGCCTTTCATATGAAGATCATTTGTGGATCATATGAGAATCATATGTTTATACAATCATATGAGAATCATATGTGGCCAATCATATGAAAATCATATGATCATGCATATATTAATCATATGAAGTAATATACATATGATTCTCATATGAAAGGTCCTACATATGAGAATCATATGTATATTTTGGCAGTGGTCATATGAGAATCATATTAAACTGATCATATAAGAATCATATGAAACCATATTCACTAATTTGCACTTGTTTTATTCAGGTATAAATCCTATGAATATTTTGACAGTGATCATATGAGAATCATATGATCACATATTAGTATTCACTAATTTGCCCTTGGTATACTCAAGTAAAATTACAATTTCAATAATATATCTCAATAGTAATTTAAATGTACAACAATTTCAAAAGAATTTGTCAGCAATAACTTATGTTAAGTTCTACTCTGATTAACACCGCTCCCCCCTTTTCCCTTATAAAAAAAAAACTCTCACAAAATTCTTTTTCTGTAATAATGCATATCCCAGACAAAATTGATAAAGAATAAATTAATTTGCTTTTTATTTCAAATCTTTTGGGTTTGGGTTTATTACTTGAGTAAAATAAAAAAAAATCCGTATTTTTCCCGGACCGGTTTTGACTTCTATCTGATGAAAGTGTACGTCACTGCTGCAGCAGAAGTACTGGGTTTGGAAAAAGTAAGTAGGCCTAATCTCCTAACAATTTTTTAAAGACCTTTAATTCATATTGTTTAAATACCGTTTCATTGCGGCTACAGGTTCGTATGAACTCATCTCTGTAATACTCTCAACACTTGTAATTGTTAAATTAATGCTTTGTAAACCTACATAACGTTAGTGATCTGTAAGTAATTTTGGATAAATTTGTTTCTGAATGGATGTAAACATTACAATTTACATGTTAGGCTAAACGCATTACTTTGTTTTCTTTTTCTTTTGACTTTTGTTACGTACTGATTTGAAAGTAAAAGACAAAGTAGAAACCCTGTATAGCAGTTTGGCGTTTTTGTATGTTGAGATCGTTATCAAGTCGATTCTATCATCAATTTAATGACAAACGTTTGTTTTTATGGCCTATAGAAGCATTCAACAACTTGAGTTCAGTGTCACTGTGCTGCTTTTTTATTAAGTCCAAGAAGCCCAAAGCTGATAAGACTGGCGATTGACTCCTTTATGACAAAAAATTTCTTGATAATTTCTTTTTGTTCCTTTATAATTCTACATTGTTTGCATGGCTTCATCAAAAATAAATTCAACTCAATAATATAGAAGTTGTATTCTACATTATGAAACAATTTTAATCCAATGCCCTTTTAAATATGGTAAGTATGAATAGAATATGCTGGCTTTAAAAGCTATGAAACTATACAATAACTTCAGGGGGTATAATAATAACAGTGGCAACTTTCAAGGTACACATATGCATGTGTATGTGTTGAAAGTACATCAGATAGCTAATCCATTGAATATTTACATCTATGTATTCATTAACTGACATTTATAAAAAAAAATCCAATACTAATAGAGAACCTAGTTTCAGGTAAATTGTAAGATATTAAGACTATTGAGAACCTACAAACTTGTATACTCTCTCTCTTTTTTGTAGTTTAAGTTTTAGTTATGCTTAGAAAATATCTACCGTGTTAATATTGGTTTTACAGGTTCAATATACAGTCAGTCTCTTTTTGTCTCATAAGAAAAAATCCAAAGATCCTAGGCTTGTTTCAAAGTTAAGGTAACTACACACTGTTTAACAGACTTTGTAATATTCTTCCCAATAAAGTTCGGGATATCCTGGAATCACAAAGTCTGTTTTTCTGCCTATCTACTTGTCTGTATTTTCTTTGTCCAAAAATAATATATTTGTGTCAGAATCTTCTTAATTTTTGGCAATAATACTATTTGAACATTCCAAATTCAATTGACAAAAATAAAAAAATTGCTTTTTATGATTTTAATATGAAGCATATTTTCCAATAGTGTAATTGTCTTGCAAAATTCAATTCAATTGTCAAAATAAAAAAAAATGCTTTTTATAATTTTATTATGAAGCACATCTTCCAACAGTGTCTTGCAAATTACATCATAGGATTTCACAAAACACTTAGTATAACATATATAACATTAGTTTTATCTCGTATTATATCTGTGTCGGTGAATTGGGAATACATTTGTTTGCTGATGATAAGTTAATCTAATATAACTTGTAGAATTGATTTTGTAATTTAAGAATTATTTTATTTTTATTTTTGAAATTTTTGTAGAGACCATTCTGAGCCACAAAGAAATTGGGAGAACTGGTGGATTTGCATTTTTGATACAGTTCAAAGAGATTTTCAAAATGGTCAGATCAGAGGGAGGGCAACTGAAAATATTGAAAAGTTAAAGAAGGAAAAAGAACCTGGAAATATATGGAATAATTATGAAATGTGGAGGATGTACACAACCTTGTCTGAATTTGGTCTGTAAAGATTTCCCATTCTTATTTGTATGCTAGAATATCAAAAAACTTGATTTTTTATAAATTTACAATAGAGAATACATGACAAATGTTATTGCTGATATTTCAATTTTGCTGTGGACACTTTCATGTCATATAATATTTTTATACAAGTACATGACCTAATTATTTTATTCATTTGTACATGTATACATGTTAAACTACTTAATCATTTTGCTGAAATCTTATAATTTGTACTTCTTTTAGAATATGTTAAATACACGTATCGACAAATGGTACTGACTTGTTTGTATATTTTCTTGTTTAGAATGTACACTGTGAAAAATTAGTTATTTCTTTTGATGAAAATAATTTTATCCAAAAAGTTGTGTAATTATTATAAGATATTTTAAAATATTTAACCAATGAAGATAGATCATTGTACATGTAATGTAATGAATTTTCATCTAAAGGAGAAATATCTGATTTTTAAATGTGTACAAGAATGTGAAAATATTAAAAGAGAACACACATAACTGTTTCATATGATTTACATATGATGCCCCGTTCATATGATTCTCATATGTAAATGGCTTGAAACACACTTAAATGTTTCATATGATTTACATATGATGCCCTTTACATATGATTCTCATATGTAAATGGCTTGAAACACACTTAAATCATTCATATGCAAATCATATGTAGTTATTTTCATATGATTCACATATGTGGATCATATGTAAATCATATGAATTGCTTCATATGATTCACATATGATGCCCGTTTTCTATGATTCTTATATGAAACCAATCATATATCAAGACTCATATGAGAATCATATGTGGCTAAGTTGCCTGTGTAGCATGGAATAAAATATGGAGGGAAAATAGTAGGAAAAGAAAAAATGCACTTGAATATCAATCAATTCCTTTCTCTAGTCCAAATTGAAGAAAGAAATACATGTAACAGTACGATTTTTTTTCAATCTATAGCTGAAATGTCCTGCATTTACAATAATGATTGTCATGGGTATGGTTGTGGAAGCAGATTATATCCACAATGTGCAAACCTAGACGGTCACTCTCGATGTCTTTGTGAAAGTAAGTATTATAAGTGATGGTGAACAATTCCCTACAACAATTCCCGGAACAATAAGTAAATTAATTTTACATGAATGTTCTTTTTTCACCTTAGCAACGCCACCATCATACAGACATGAATGTAACGAGAGTAACGACTGTACTAAATGCCCTGCATATCAAGTTGGCCAATGCACCCTCAACCAATGTACCTGCTCTGGTATGTGTAGAAAGTAATACGGACAAATAAGACTGGATTTCTAATGATACATTCAATAAATAGGACAAATAGAGAAATCTCGATTGTATAAAAACTGAATTGGAATATGTGTGTAAACAAATTAATTTTGCAGAAAGATTTTTTTAAGAAGGCGATTATCATTTTAAGAATATTGGAATCCTCTCATATTTTTGCATTATATGAAATGAATGAAATGCTAAAAGAGTCAAGAAGACACTTTCACTGAGTGATGGTTTGATCAGCGTTTCATTCGATCGTTTTAATTTAGAAGCAAGGTCATATTAATTCATTACATTTTTCAATGACATTAAGCATAAACATTACTTTAACAAATCATTTGATGCCTATGTTTTATTTTAAAAACTTAATCAATTTTCTATTTGCATGAATTTATTCTACCGCAAAGGGTCTATCAGTTGAAAATACCAAATCGACATAAACAAATGAACAAAAATAAATATTGCCTAATACGATTTTTTTCTATTTTTCTACGGATTATTATTTTTTTTTTTATATGTTTCTCATATTTAATTTTTTTTTTTTTTTGCATTTTTATGTACATCTATCTTTGATTGTTAAAAATTCGGAACTTAATTTATTGTTCAGTAGTAATTTTTGAGAAGCAGAAAAGGAGATATTTTCATATGTTGCCATTCCGCCGAATATACATGTATAGTCCCTGCTTGTTATCAAACAGAGTTCTCAAAAATGAGAAAAGAAGATTAATGTGATATATTAAATCCATTATATCTTACTATCCATGCAAGTATATTTGAACATTTCATATAGTCAAAAGTCAGACAAGAATTCCATCTTAACTAGCTTTTTCATATATTTTATATTGTAAAAAAGAAGTGTTAAAGTACGATGTATTGACAAATATATGTAAACATATTAATAGCACGCGCAAGACATGTTCAATTAGAAACATTATAAATTTAGCTCGTCAAGTAGTTTGTCTATTGTTGGATTAGCTTTAAACTTTTTTGCCAATTTAACTCTAGGTTTGAAATGTTGACTTTTATGGTGTAAGAGTAGGAATGCCAGATATATGGGGGAAGTGCCAAAGTTTTCTTCCGTTTTGTTTTTAAGGAAATAGTGATTCTAGCATAATTTCTTTCTATAGCCGAAAGGGTGTGTCTTTACAACAATGATTGTCATGTGTATGGTTGTGGAAGTAATTGGTATTCAGTATGTGCAAACCTAGATGGCCACTCTCGATGTCTATGTGAACGTAAGTATTTTTTGAAGCAGTAAACAATTCATTAAAGGTTTTTAATTAATACGAGTCTTTTATTTTCACTTTAGCATTTTCACCAACTTCCAGACACGAATGTGAGGAGAATTCAGACTGTACTAAATGTTCTGATAATAAAATTGGACAGTGTAAAAGCAAGCAATGTACCTGCTATGGTATGTTTTTGAATAATCAAATAAGCTAGAAAGAATATGGGTAATGGGTAGACAAGAAAAACCCCTTAAAAGATAAAATGATTTTATATTTTGATCACACAGGTATTTGAGGTTTCCCTTATCAATACATAGACATTATACCATTCTTTGCATAACGTGTCAGGTACCAATATCTGAAACACCTCTTACAATTTGAATAAGAATTTATTGATACCTTCAAGAATATTTAATGTATAGTGTCATCGTGCAGCTCTTACTTAACCCTGTGCCCAGAGAGATCTAGTATGAATACAGTTGTGTTCACTAGTTTTTAATTTTGTTTAATTGGTAGCATAAGTATGCATGTGATCATGGTTTTTTATCTTTGATTTGCATGAATTTTTCTCGCTAAATTTAGAGCGAATTTAGACTGAAATAAAACATTTCACTATTAATAATTGTTGGAGAATTAAATGTGAAACTGACATGCTACGTTAGATAAAACATTCATAAATGCATACATATTCTCGAATATATTTTCCCTACTTGTAGAGATTAGGTATACAGTTACACTGCATTCATTTAAGGCTGATTTAAATCTTGCCCTTTTTCTAAATTGAATGATTTTAAACAAAACCCATGATGCAAGTTTTCTTTCTCATCAAACTTTTTTTAATATAATTTTTCACATTAAGCAGATACAACAACAACAGAAACAACAATATTTACTACATCGGCTCCATCTTCAACAACAACAACACAAAGTAAAATATCAACATCAACGAAATCAACAACAATAAGGAATACCTCACCAGTTACTCCAGTAAAGCCGGATTTATCTTCTACAATTTCAGTCATATCCACCTCATTCTTATCAACTAAAAAGACAACAACAACAGACCAATTTAAAAGTACTACCACTGTTTCGACGACAATGCCTACAACGGACCAAACAGATTCAATGAAGACAACTAGTTCCTACCAGTCAACTATGTCTTTAGGTTAATATTGATTATGTGCTTATGTTTTTTACACACTTGATACGCAGTCTCTGCATCGTAGTTGTTTCATAGTAACTGTTTATTATTTCTTGGAAAAGAAACAATACTTTGATCGGAATGAAACTAAAGAACTATGATTAAACAAGATTCCATATCCGCAAATCCCTTTTTTCCGGTTCGGGTGAGAGATATTTATGACGTTTCCATCAATACACATTCGTTTCTTTTCTAGTGAAATCTTCTTCAAAAAGTACTTTTGGATTTACAAACAATATTAAAATCCTATATCAAAATAAAAGGCCTCTTGAGCATCAGGTCCCTTTTGTACATATATTTTTAAAAGTATGATTTCTCTCAATCGAGATTTTACATATTTTTGTTTATTTGTTGATATTTACACTTTATCATATTATGTAAGCTGTATTTAAGCTTTGACGTCAAAAATGTTTATTTTAATGAAAATAAAAATACTTAAGACTTTGAATGTTTTCATGGATATTCGAAAGATATTTACAAATTATCACATTTTCAATTAGCAGAAACATCGACAATCATTTCTTCAACAACACCGACATCGCCGGATACAACTACAGGTTAGTTTCTTCATTCAAGTATTTTCTCATTTTACTAAAATGACAGGGCAATCGCTAACAGCACACTAGTGTATGTTTTTGTATGTTGTTTAACGTCCCTCTAAAGAATTTTCACTCATATGGAAACGCCACCACTTGCCTGTAGAGCTGCATTTTTTTTGTTCTATATATGCTCGGCACTAACAGCTATTGAGCAGTGAGGGATTGTTTTTCTTGCCAATAAAAAGGGACCTCGTTTTATATGGTGAGATTCGAACAGGCAGCTTAAGGATTAGCGCCTTATTTCGCGACTTTCAAAGCAAACGCTCTACTCAGTGCTTTCTACGAGCAACTGAGATATGTTGTGCTAGTGTTCAATGTATTTTTACAAATTATAAAGCAGTGATTTCATGGGTTACGTTCATGAAAGTATCGTAAAACACAATTTTTATAAATAAACATAATTTGTGAAGTACTGTGGAGGGGATGAGGGCTAATACATACTTTTGGGGAAGTACGAGGGCTGTTCGGAAATTATTGAGACATTGTGGATACATTTCTTTCTAATGAACGTCTTTCGGTGAAAATTCGCATATACGTTTGACAAACACCAAGAATTCGTAAAAGCAAAAAATATTTTACAAATATTAAATTTCTTATCTTCAATGGTCGATAAATATGTTAATGGTAGGGGTACACGGAGCAGTCACGAAATCAGATTTTGAAAATATGTTACAACAACGTTCAAACCCAAGGTGGACCCATAATAAAGGCGATAATAATTCAATTTATGTTTATAATTTTTTCAATCTTACTTTAACTGCATGCTGTATAAGTTTGTTAGAATTCTGATCAGAAATACAGAGATCATTAAATAAAATCAGGCGCAATCAAGAATTCTGATAACGAAGAAAAGATGAATTTTGACGTAAAGGCGGAGCAACGAGAGACTTATAATTTTGTGTAGCGCTAAAACTCTTTTCCAGACTGACCAACCCGATCAAACAATAACAAGAATACTGCAAAACATGTTAAAAGATTTTGATTTCATTGGTTTATATTTTTTCTGACCAATGATTCAACCACAGTAAAATAAAAATCTCCGGACGACTATCAATTTTGACCTAACAGGATCAATAGCGTTGACTCGCGTTGCGTAAATCGGCACTACATGATGCAAAGTCATCCTGCATATATGACAAATTAAAAGTTAACACTGATGAAGCAACAGCACATATTTTATAAAAATCGTTTAAGAAAAGATAAAGTTTGATTTTTGCAATACCATACATGATAATGAAGAAAAAAAGCAAACACTTCCCGATTGTTTCACATGCTAAACATCTCCGATTGAAATAAAATTAAAAAGACGTAGCGATGCTGCTCCAAGTCGATAAACATTTGCATGTTTATAATTTCACCAGAACTTATCTAATTATCCCATGAATTAGAAATTTTGCATATTTGTTTTATTCTTTCATTCTAAAATGTTGACAAATTTTCCTTAATTTATCTCTGCTCTTTATAGAGTTACAGTAAATGTCTCAATAATTTCCGAACAATATGTTGTTTTTTCGTAATTTCTACAATAAAAATATTTTTTAATGTTTTAAAGAATTGGATGTTTTTCCCTATGTTTTGACCGAATATGTATTTAAAACTGCGCTCTCTGAACGATCAATTTTCAATCCGAGGCAGTCTACTGACAATTGAGATACAAACTTCAAATAACCTCGTTCAAAGTCAGCTTTTGGTCATTTCGACGGTCGTCATCATATCCTTTTAAGCAAACACCTTTTATGGGGTGAAAATTGACAGCCAAAATTTCTACCATCTGTTCGACATCTCATGCTCAATTTGACTGAAGATCCGAATCATCTTGAGTCTTTTGTACATATATTTTTTAAAGTATAATTTTTCCGAGTTCTAACATTTTAACATATTATTTAACTTCTGACGTCAAAAAAATTATCATTATTTAAGGAATGAAGCTTATTTCAACTTATATTATACGATATAACATAACTTGGGGCAGTTTACGCTTTATAAATTATAAGCGGTTTATAAAAAAGCGTAAACTGCCCCAAGTTTTGTTATATCGTATAATATAAGTTGAAATAAACTTCATTCCTTATGATTTAATTTCAGTGCAGACAATGAGATAATTTTCTCCCCAGAAAAAGGCTTCACAATGATTAAATTTTAAAAGTAACGTCAAGCGGAGTAATACGTTTTTTGACGTAACTCATTGTGACGTAGGCAAGTTATGTTATTCAAAATGGATAAAATCTTTTATCCAATCAAATGGCGTGTCACAAGTAGAATTAAATTATTTCAAATAAAAACACTTAAGACTGAATGTTTTAATGGATATTTGAAAAATATTTACAAATTATCACATTTGCAATAGCAGAAACATCGACATCTACTTCTTCAACAACACCAACATCGCCGGATACAAATACAGGTAAGTTTCCTCATTCAAGTATTTTCTCATTTAACTTCAAACAATAATGTTTATGTGATGTTATATATATGACATGAAAATAATAACCAGCACACTAGTGTATGTTTTTGTATGTTGTTGAACGTCCCTCTAAAGAATTTTCACTCATATGGAAACGCCACCATTTGCCTGTAGAGCTGCATTTTTTTTTATCTATATATGCTCGGCACTAACAGCTATTGAGCAGTGAGGGAATGTTTTCTTGCCAATAAAACGGGACCTCGTTTTATACGGTGAGATTCGAACAGGCAACGTAAGGGTTAGCGTCTTATTTTGTGACTTTCAAAGCAAATGCTCTAATCAATGCTTCCTACGAGCGACTTAGATATGTTATGCTAGTGTTCAATGTATAAATAAAACCATAACGCTACAGATCTGCAGCTAAACAGACGTCTACGGCTAACTACGTACATGTACCTTGTTTGTTTCAGCTATCCCTCTATACATGTATTTATAAGAAAATCTAAGAAGTTATTTATAAATGTAATTTATGAATTGCTTTCATTTTATCCCAAGATTCTTGCTTTACTAATAACATTTTTCCATCCTGCATTCGGGGCTCTGCATTCCGTGTGCAACTTGCTTTGTCAGAACAGGATATGAAATGCGCTCTATAAACTCCTGACCGTAACGGTTTAAAGTCGACTTCTGTGATGCCAAAAAAAAATAATGCGTATTTTAAAAAAAAAAAATCCGAGGCAGTGCACTGAAATTTGAGCTACAGAATTCAAATAACCTCTTTAAACGTCAGCTTTTGGTCTATTCGACGGTCGTCATTATGACCTTTTAAGCAAATACCTTTTATGTTATTTAATTTTATTGTGTTTGTTATTATTTTATGATATTTGAAAAATATTTACAAATTATCGCATTTGCAATGGCAGAAACATCGACATCTACTTCTTCAACCACAACAACAACTGTAGGTTAGTTTCTTCATTCAAGTATTTCTCATTCGGCTTCAAACAATAAAGTAAATGTGATGCACTATGACATGCTCATCGTTAACAGTATACTTGTGTATGTGTTTGTATGTTGTTAAATATCCCTCAAAAGAATTTTTCACTCATATGGAGACGCCACCACTTGTCTGTAAAGCTGAAATTGTTTGGTTCTATGCTGGACGCTGCCAACTATTGAGCTGTAAAGTTTTTTCTTGCCAATGAAATGGGACCTCAGTGTATACGGTTTCATCCGAAGGACCAGTCTATCTACACGTCCAACAGTGGGATTCGAACCGGCGATGGAAGGATCAATGCGACTCGAGAGCAGACCCGTTCACAACAGCTCAACGCGGGCTATGGTTAAAATTTTGAGGTTTCATTTCTGATAAGTTTTCCTGCAAAATTTACTCACCATATGTTTTAATCATAATATCTGAAAAAGTAAGTGAAGCTAGAATTCAGGGTACATGTATGTACTTATCAAAGAATTCAATTAATTAAATGAGCAAAGTATGCTCAGAAATTCTCAGAAACAAATTCTTGCCTGGAAAGTGACAAAAATTTTTGACAATAAGATTATATAAGTAGTCACGTAGCCAAAAATGTGGTGTCCAAATTGTTGGTAACGAATTGTTTTCTGGCAAAGATAGCAACTTTTAATTGATATCAAGTTGATGAATGAAATTAATTGCATTGTCAAGTAACCAAAAGCTCATTGTAAAATCAGTTGAGGGATAAAACCAATTGCCAATTGTTTAACAAAGTAGCTATAGTATCTCCATACTCAAGTGGCAAGAATAACCCAGTGCCTTTTGAATAGCCGAGTGGCAGTTAGTACCAGTATAGTTTCTGTAGCTAAGTGGGAGGTTTGTCTGTATTTATTGATAAAATAATACACTAGACAAGTGTCTATCATAATATTGATTTGCATTCGTTTTTATCCTAGTAGACTTGGCCATTTACCAAGTATGATCCCAAGGAGA